CAACAAAAACACACTAAAAACAACAGCCTTAGTAGCTAAGCTAGACAAAACCAAAACGAAACAATTCCCAAGGAACAACCAAAGCGAGCAAGCACCTCAAAATACGATAAATCAGAATAAACAATAATAAACATGCCCCCCCCCCCCTCTCAAACAGTGTAAGAACAATACATAATGAAAGCTAAGTTGTTCCCTCACCGATCCAGACATCGGGGATAGCCTTGTTAGTAAATACAACTTCCTGGGCCTTCGGCATATTGTGGTTGGGTGGCCACTTCCTTTCCACAACGCCTTTACTTTCCCAACTCGAAGTTAGATACCCATTACTGCTTGGTAAGAAGAAGGGGGTGAAAAAATTCTGTGTCCGAACCGAGGCTCAAACCGGGACTTTAGCTTCGGATACAAGCGCACTAACCGCTGCGCCACTGCAATATAATAATATAATACCAAAAAAAAAATAATTAAAAAAGCATACCCATCCCTGCATCCTCCACCGTCTCTTCACAGCCAAAACCAAGACAATCACCACCACAATGACGACGAAGGCCGACACACAGACGATAACAACGATGACCAGAGTGGACATGAGACATCCATCTGTCTCGTCGCTGTCATCGCCGCAGTCGTCGTAACCGTCACATTGCACACTCGCGGACACACAGCGACCGTTGTCACAGGCAAACTCATGGCTTGTGTCGCACACATCTGTGGGATTAAAGGGCAGTCAAGACCTGCATGCAGCGAGCAGGTTTCTTTGATATTGTGGAGGAATTGGGCTCTCGTCAATAAATAATGAAATCGAAGAAGTAGACGCCTCCTAAAGCCCAACCCCAGGTCCACGTCCCGGGAGGTGGAAACTTGACAAAGTGGGGGATTGCTGAGTTCAACGAAATACGGTGTTGCTTTATGCCACTAAGGCGTCACGCTAGCCGTGAAGAAGAATCCGGGTCACCCCGAAAAGTTGCTGGCTAACGGGGCTCTGGTGAAACTGTGACAGGCCCAGCAAGTCTGCAGCGGATTATTTATTTCTAAAAAATCTAATGGAAGAAAGAAACGTACTGACATAGACGGAAAACGACTTGGAAACGTTAAAGGATTACGAGAAAGGATTTGCACTCTGAACATCCTAGGCCTGAAAGACAAAGAACCAGAGCTTATTACTTTCATGAAAAGGTGGAGAATACCAATACTTGGACTGTCTGATTGTTGTTTAAAAGGAAGCGGGACCAAGAAATACTTGGAAATTACGTTATAATATGGAATGGATAAGATATGAGAGAGAGAGAGAGAGAGAGAGAGAGAGAGAGAGAGGGAGAGAGAGAGAGAGAGAGAGAGAGTCAATATTTTGTAAAAGTACTCAAAGACGGACTTGTCAGGGCCAATCTGGGTTCAGTTTGATGTGGCATAGAAACAGACAAAAGCGAGCTTGGTGTACTGGGATGCGCACTCCTTTCTTCTGTGAGCAATGGCAAAAGCATTGCCATTTTACCACAGACGCCGGGGGACCAGACAAATGACCTCATTGTGCTCGGTAGAATGTTCATCCCTTATTAAAAAAATAAGAATGCTTTATACTCTCCAGCTAATAAGATAACTTGTATAAATGATATCGTTCGTGTGACTCTGGCCGTTTAAGTTTGCTATCTGTGAGGTGCGATAAACAGTGGAGTAATTTAAAAAAAAATTATTTTCAAGTTGACGCTAGCCAAGGCTGTAACACATTACCTTTATAGTGATCATTGACAAGGCTATTTGCCTGGACAGTGTGGTGAAGGTAAAGAGTGCAAAGAGAGCACAGTTAATATAATATAATAGCGATCAAAAGCTACCTTGTTTTATTGTGTTAAAAGTCTATTCTGTTGGGTCTTCACGCTTTTTCTTTCGTGGTATAAACAAAATTTGGTTCTTATGTTAGTTTAGGATTGTCAAAAAAGTTTATGCTTTGGTTATTTACATGTTTCCTTTTATGAGAGTAGTACTAAGTATTTTTTTAAAAGTAGGCCACGGGACCTCCGAGATTTTTCGCACTTGTCCAAGAAGTCTAGGTGTATATCGTTCCTACCAGATGATTAGGGGTGCGGCTTAAAGACAGCAGTAAGAAGGAGCCAAAGAGTAGCAGTAGAAAGGCTGCAGAAAGAGTCAGGAGCCCAGAAGAGGGAGCAAATGAGGTGAGACAGAAAGTGGAGACGAAAGCAGACAAAAGAACATTGTAAGAGAGCAGGAAATGCAATTTTAGAGCAGAACATTTTTCGGTCGCTACCCGGATTCGAACCCGGGACCTGTGATTGGGAGGCGAACACCTTAACCGTTTCTCCTGTTGCCAGAACATTCACTTATGTAACACACACCTTTGTAAGCAGACACCACCATCAGCCCAACCCAAGGAACAAACCCTCCTAATTACCAAAATCAGTTCACCACCCCCCAATCCTCCCTCCCCTAAATGAAGAAACAAAAGACAAAAAATCTCTTTCTCCCTCTCTCTCACTCTGTATTTATCCCTTTCTTCCTCTCTCTTCCTCCTTCTTCCTCTCTCTTTCTCTCTTTCTCTTTCTTTCTCTCTCTCTTTCTCTCTCTTCTTCTCCCTTAATATCTCTCTCACTCTTTATATGTCTCTCTGTCTCTCCTCTGTGTCACCTTATCTCATATCCCCTTCTTGCTTCCTCTCTCTTACTCCCCTCTCTGTCTCTCTCTCTCTCTCTCTCTCTCTCTCTCTCTCTCTCTCTCTCTCTCTCTCTCTCTCTCTCTCTCTCTTATTTCATTTTCTTCGTCTTCTTTCCTTAAGTTACTTCTCTCACTTTCCTATTCTTCGAATCATTCCTGGAGTTTTAATCTGTGACCTCAGTATCGTCCCGTCACTTTCTTCCCATCTTTACCAAAATAAAAATAAAATAAAAAAGAAGTGGGTGTTCAACTGGTGGTTTATCATTCTCTCCTCCTTTCTTTTCTTGTTGCTGTGTCTCTTGACTACGAAAGCCTCCTAAACTTGCTACCCCCCCCCCGGGGGCAGTGCTACTGACTGAAGTGTCTTTAGGCCATTCCCAGAGGGGGATTGGGGGGTGGGGGACATACATCTGTTCTTTCGTACAGTAGAATTGTAAATTGGCTGATTCATCAATGGCTTCCTCATAACTGTGCCTGAACTGCATACAGGGAACTGGTGCTTTTTCTTTCCTAATCCTTATTTACTATCGTCATTTTTGCTCTACTTCTTTTGTATGTTTGTCACTCTCTTGTGACCCGGTATTTCCGGGATGCCTAGATAGTCAAAGCAGACTTTGTGCTGTTGAAGCTAGAGAGGTGAGCAGAGTAAGCCTGATTCCCTGTATGGAGTTCTCTGCTGACATCCACCCTTTGGCGCTCATATGACCTTATGCAGCTGCGAGCGCCGTAAAAACTCTATTAAAACTAAAACCTAAACTTAGGACAGATATGTTCACTTTATCTCAATCACATTGTTGACCAAAACTGAGAAATTCTTTAAAGGCTGAGGTAATGTTGAACTTAAATTAAATAAAAAATGCAAAGTATAAAGGGACATACCCCTTACCTTACCGCTACCCCTGCCCCCCTCCCCTCACCAACTCTCTCT